TATATATATATATATATATATATATATATATATATACATATATATATATATAACCGATAATGCTCTCAGCCTCGGCCATTTGCGACACCCTGATCTACTATCGTTTGTATATCGATACAATGCACTTCAATTTACAAACTCTACTCTTGATCGCGTGCATCGCTCTTACCGGTGCCGGCGCAGCTTATATTCGAGATACCGACGATAAAATTGACGCTCTGAATACCGAAGCAGAAATTAGTACAGATCCGCGAAACCTGACAGAACTGTCTAATGAGGCCAAGTGGCAAGCAATAGCAGTCAATCCAAACCACAAACGGTGGGGGATTGCTTGGGATTACAGTCGCGAAGACGACGCTAAAGCTCGTGCACTGACGGAGTGTGGGGAGGCAGAATGTGTCATCCGCGGAACGAATAAGAACGGCTGTTTAGTGTACGCATACAGTCCGGGCACTTCTCGATGGGGTTCGGCAGGTACAGTGAATTCAATCCCCGCAAAAGCATTTAATATGAGCACGCGACTGATCTTTTAATACTCCCAGCACGTATTAATCCTGGCCGTAAAACGCGCCTCTGTGCTATGTTCTTCCGTTGCATACCTAGAAGTCTAAAGAATCTGTTGTATATCGTCCCCATTTGAAAATGAATGCCTGGTATTTATTTTTTTGGATCATAATGTATTTAAATCTTCAATATTAAACATTATTCTCTATACATCATATGCACAGGTCAATCATCATATTCCGCTGCCCTGTCCTCCGCCATCGCGAGTTGCGGACGCGGCGATTGTACCGAACTAGTGCGAAGTTGCAAGCAAAGAAACTGGGCCGTCGGCGGGAACAGAAGAACTGTTGGGAATTGCACAGAGGGGGACTTGTCATGAATCAGAATGGATTTGTGTTGGATAAAACTGAATCAGAATGGAATTGTGTTGGATAAAATAAAATAACAAGCTATGCAGCCAGAGTTGTTGAAAACCGAGACAGTCTTTTGAAAGATACTTTTCGAAATTCATTGTGCGAAGCTCTGAGCATACTTGAGACTCGACAATATTGTGTATTCTCGAAAGTAACAAAAGACAACGCGTTATAAGTAGACAAACGCGTATATATTTAACTTTCTTAACTTTCTGACACGGACAAATACTAATACTTTAACACTGGCATTTCGCCTAATTTTGAGATTATGGCGTTTGTGATGCACCTTGGTTGCTATGAACATTCTACCAGGATTTCAATATCTAAAATAGCATTGCCAAAGCACCGTCAAATAGGCTCCTAAATTCAAGCTACATTTACAACACGTATACGAGTGGTGCTGACTCATGCACGACAGCTAACACGTGTACAAGAGTGAATGAGGGGAGATGCAACAAGCAACTGCTCATTGGAACCACTTCTTAATGATATAAAAGCGTATATACTATGTACAAACTGTTTCCATAGAAACAACAGTCAATGAATCTATCATTCTCTCGAACGATCCATCTTCACGCTCGAAAACTTATTTTAATATCACTCAACGATATTTGGTTCAAGGTCTTGTGAAGTTTTTTTCCTATTTACATATCAAGAACCAAGCTCAAAGTATTGGCAATAGAGGCGGACTATCCTAAAATTGCGTTTCAGTGTTCCTATCATACTCCTATCAACGTATCTAGTATCCTCCCTTGCAACTAACTATAAATAATGCGTTTCAGTTTTCCTGTCATACTCTTATCAACTTATCTACTATTCTCCCTTGCAAGCCATACCGGCGAAGCTGCAGCTGTCCAGGGCAGGCAGGAACCGACTACGGGTGACGCGATAGACACCGAGGGAGAAAGCGACTCAGACTTCAATGGCGCTGAGCCAGATAAGTGGCAAGCCTTGGCTATGAATCCCAACCACAAGAGATGGGGAAAAGCGTGGAACTACCAGACCGAGGATGGGGCCAAGGCAGTCGCTCTACAGGAGTGTGGGCAAGCCGGGTGTGTGATTCGCGGCACGATCAAAGACGGGTGCCTAGTTTACACCTATAGCCCAGGCACAACCCGCTGGGGTTGGGCAGGTATGGCTAAGCGTGTGTGTACGTACACACTAACTACGAGTGATGCCAGCTTGCGCTTCACACCATATGTTGATCTTGCGGTATATGCCCACCAGAGTTTTAATCTATCACATACTGCAGTCTGCGTTTACTTGCTAGTGGTACTTAATCAACAGCACACTATATTTTCGAGGTCTCGTATGTCTTCAGATTTTATACAGCATACATCCCCTCAGGTTCGTGATTTTCCGTCCATTTTCTATATACAGGTCGGTCTACGTATTCGCTAGCCCTGACATCAGCATTGGCGACTTGCGGGCGTGGAGACTGTGTGGAGCTGGTACACACATGCAAGGCATAGCGGCGTGTACTAAATCGTGATCTATCTGAAATAAATAAAAACAAATGTCCATCTCGGCAATGGTTCGTTACACACACTGAACATTGACGCATAGAATAGTGCAAGTGCTACTTCTATAGAACACTCAGCGTTTCAAACCCTTCGACGTGACAATCGTATCTTGCGACTTCGTGAAAGCTGGAACTTTTGAGTACAGGCTATTCAATACAGACTATTATTTGTAGAGTATCCTGCGTGTAGACATATACCCATATACTATAGGACGCATCAGCTCAGGATGACAATGGAGTACAGGCTATTCAATACAGATTATTATTTGTAGAATATCCTGCGTGTAGACATAGACCCATATACTATAGGACGCAGTAGCTCA